ACTTTCGTAGGGAACACGGTTGCATTTAGCGCATGCAACAAGCCTTTTAAACTCTTAGGTTAACCCTAGTAGACGAGTGAAGTCTCGTGAGGGTTTCCAGAAATGATACCCACAAACATTAAGCTCATTCTCACTAAAGAGGCACCAATATTCCAAACAAGAATTAGGAGAAAACTACCTCAAGTATGTAATTTTTCAACCATTTCCAAGTAATCTCCGAAAATCTCAAAATCAAGTAAGCAAGTATGGTCCTCTACACATCAAGACAATGATCATGCAAATCAAAACAACTTTAAAATTCTTTTTGAGTGAACCGGCATCAAATATGTTGCTATCTAAGCCAACTAAAAAAATGATCACATCCTTACCCTCAAACTAGCACACAAATCTAGTACCGATCATCAAGACAAAAAGTGGACCTTTTATTAAAACTTTATTGTTCTAGGTGCGCTTATTCTTTCTATTCGAAATTTTATTTATCTATTTATTTTTTTAATCCTAAGGATCAAAGATGGAAACAAAGTGCAATGTGTTGATCTATTAAGCTTTCTAGCATTCCATGAGGTTGAGTGTTAGGTCAATGACTCCCAAACCAGACGACTTTAGGGCATCAGGTGTTAAAACACCCATAAGGACTTACAAGCTCAAATCGATTAGGCTACAAATCAAAACTACCTCCATTTAATCATTTCCCACATCTCACTTTTTGGGAGAAGTCCTCACTCTTTTATTTGCTTTTTGTAAACTTTTTTTATTTATTCTTTTTTTTTTATCAAGTTATTAATCTAGAGTTTGGGCCCTCCACCTTTTGACGAGAAAAATTCAGTGCTTGATGAGGCTAGAATCCCAGCTACTTAGTGAAAAGGGGTTGTTATCCATTTTTGTCAAGATGAAAGCTTTCAATGCACTACTAGCTCAATTGGGATATAACCAAATCAATAATCAACAAAGCATGTACTCCATAAATGAATGCTAGTGTGCGCATGTACTAGTGTAGAATCGTAGAGTGAATCTCAAAACAATCACAAGATTATGATGATGTGGACCACAAATGCAAGGAAGTTATCAATCATTCAAAAAATTTACTCCTAAATGGCATCCATAAAGAATACAAGGAGTATTGGACTCTCAAGTCAAGCAAATTTTAAATTCTAAGTATCATGATTCTCAAAAGATCAAAATCATAGCTAACATCAATCTCAAATCTCAATCATGCATTTAAAGCTTAACTTAAATTGAATGCAACAAAACCACCTTACCCCAAACTTAAACCACACATTGTCCTCAATGTGCAATGAGAACAATGGAAAAGATGGAAAGAATATACCGTGGTGGCAAAGACATGAAGCCCGGCAATGATCCATTGGGAAGAAGTCCACCCCCAAACTTGGAATCAACAATCTACTTGAATAACCACACTAGCAAACTCATATTAAATATCAAATGGGATAGATAAGTAAATCAAGCATTCTAAGGCAATATAACACAAGATGAAAAAGATATATGAATCAAGCCCAATAGAAAATATGAAAGTGGTATAACTATACAGAAGGACACAATGTTGAAAAGTTCTTATGTTTATCTTTTTATGAAAATATGAACAATGAAACAAAATGCAAGAAAAATAAAGAAATAAAAATGAAAATGAACATGTATGATACAGGAGATAAAAGACACAATGTGTCATGTGGGTGCCAAGTTTAACGTCTCTAGCAAGACGGAATACTACTTTGAAAAATTATTATTATTATTATTATTTTGGTGCTTTTTTTTAATTATTTTTTTAGAAAAAATAAATATGTACATAAACAAAAATAAAAAGGCAAGTAAATAAAAATGCAAGAAGTAAAAATGTAAGGAAATAAAGAATGCAAATAAATAATTTTTTTTTTCAAAAGAGAAAAGTAACTAAATAAAATAAAAGAAAATGACAAAAGTAAAAGAAAATGAAAAATAAAATGAAAATAGAAAGAGGAAAAAGTAAAAAAGTCAAAAGGGCAAAGCTGTGATCGATCCTGACTTAGATCGAATGATCGATCTCTATGCTTGCACGATAGGACAGAGGCATGAAATTTACAGAGCTTCGAAATTTTTTAAGTATAGAACTGAGATCGATCGAAGGGATAATTGGATCAATCGAGGGATCTTTGATCGATCGGATAGGAAGTTCGAACCATACATAGAGACCTGAAATATGCAGAGAAAGTTCGAACGATGGGACAGATAGATGATTCTTTACCTGCAGAGAGGTTCGATCGATTGAAAGTACACTTGTGATCGATCGAATTGGCACCAAATGCCTAATTTTGAGATGAAAGTGCAGAAAATCCTATGCTAAACCGCAATGATGGTAACAAGAATGGAGATTAAAAAATGGATGGAAGAATGTATATAAGAACGAAAAATAAAAAGAAATGAGGGACGAATAGAGTTTTAAAACTCTACGAAAAACTAGTATTTATGCCTAACATGCATGAAATATTCAATGATGCTCAATGAAACATATCTAGACACCACAAGAAGTGAAAGATAAAAAGAAATGGGAGAGGAATAGAGTTGAAAACTCTATGAATGCTAGTGTTTAACGTTTCTAGCAAGACGTTAGATCAACTCACTAGTCGAACAAATAAAAAACCAGATATAAAACATCCTTATTGATCCTCTTTTCACTTTCCTCATTTGATGCCTCACTTACAACAATGAAATCATCCTCCAAAAGAATGACTTGAAAAAAAATGAAAAAGATGATTTCGTTCCTTTCATCCACGGTCTTAAAAACAAAATCAATCATGGTTAGGCTTGCTTCTTTGTTGTGTTCTTGAAACATATTCAAATAATTATTCACTTTGATAATTGTTGAGGTAATATTTGGAATATCAAGAAACACCTTCTCTTCATCCCTCTTCTCTTCCTTAAAAATAACCATCTCTTCACCCTTTAAAATAGCCACGGAGTCCATTAAAGAGTTGACTTCATTTATGGAGCTTTCTATGTCAAAACCATATCTTTTATACATTTGCAAAAGGCACTCCTCAAGAGGGTCCTTGGAGAGAATAGAAAAAAGTTCCTCTTCAAGTTTTCTCTCTTCCACCTCTATAGTGGTCAACATCTCCTCACTCTCAAAAGTAGTAATGGCCGAAATTAAATCATGATCAAAATAAGGAAAATCCTCATAAGTTATGTTGTGCTCTATTGGATTAGCCATTGGTAGACTCATCAACTCCTTAAATTGGTTACTTGCTACTTTTTCCTCACTCTCCTCATCTTCATCTACATAATTGAAGTTCTTGCCATTTTTTCATTTGCCTCTTCCTCCTCCTCTTGACGAGAAAGAGTGCTTGCAATTTGCTCAACTTGAGCTTCTAACTTGGCTAATGTTTAAGAATGAGAATTAATAAGTGGAGTTTGTGAAATATGCACATCAAGTAAAGCTAACACTTTTTCTTCAAATTCGGGTGAGTACCTAGAAGGTGGTGGATTTGGTTCTTCACAAAATAGTGGGGGAGGGTAGTAGTCATAAGGAGGATCAAAAGAGTGATCAAGTCCATAATAAGATGATGCATGTTGAAATGAATTGGACTCAATCTCATAAGGATTAAAATATAATGGAGGAGCATAAGGTGAAGGGATGTAATTTTCCCCCAAACTTGGATCAAACAATTCCTTTATTCACACTCAAAATCCAAATGCAACAAATAATGGCCTCCACACGGGCCGATGCTTGGACTTAAAATAAAGTAATGAAATTAGCCTCAACAAGGGCTATCACAAGCATGTAAAGAAGTGAAATAATTAAATTACGAGATTTTCAAGAAATGCTCACAAAGGCCCTTAAGCAACTTCAAATTCCAATGCTAGCTTTAAGCCCCAATGATTGCTTTAAGATCCAATGTTTACCTTCCTTATAATCAAATACCTAATTGAACAAATAATATCAAGAATGAGAAAAGAATATACAATGGAAAATAAAATAAAAATAGAAGCAATCAAATGAAAACTATTGTCTAGTCTAATTCCAATAAAACCGTTAATCTTTGGTAACGGCGCCAAAATTTTACGAGTCCGCTTGTATACGCCAAAATAATGTAGTGAATGTGCGGTTCAAGAAAAGCCTTTTAAGTCAAGTTTAAATTTATAAAAACCACTACCACCACTACTACTAACGTAGCAAGAGTGAGTAGGGATCGTCTCAAGGGATTATACGTGTTGGAATCTAACTTCGACTCTAGTGGATCACAAGATTGCAAAGGAGAGATTGATTGTTTGAATTAAACTAAAATTCAAGTAATTAAAATGCAATTAAAATAAACTAAGTTGAGTTAGGGATTTAAGATATGAGAAGTGAGGTTTTGGGGTGTATTGGAATTGCCACCAAGTTCGTTCACCAAACCACACACTTTCAACTAATTTGGGGAAAACATTATTGTGAACAAAATGCGACTACCAATTGCAATATTAAGCATGGACCATCAAATTCATGTATGTATTGTCTACCTAACCAACAAATAAACTAAGTGTAGAATAACCCAATAATTCTAAGCATGACCCATCAAACTACTCACAATTGTAGCACACATCAATCTAGAAAATCATGGAATTTGTAATAATAAGTCATGGAATATCAAATCAAGTAAAGATGTCTACCTACCTACAAGTATGAATTAAATTGTAGAACAACCCATCAAGTATAAGTATAATCCATCAAATTAATTGACAAACCCATCTAATAAAAACCATATCTAGCCATCACTAGATCCTTAATTAATCACACATAGACATGCAACCAACATAGAGAAACTAGTGTAGATATCAATTCCCAATAATCACACATAAGACAATATGTAATCACAAAGAGAATCAATAGGAAGAATTAAATTATATGAATCATGTAATAAGAAGAATTAAATCATATGAATCATGTAAGACATAATTCCCAATTTAATCACACATTGACATGTAAATAAATTAGAGAATTAATGGGAAGAATTAAACCATAGGAATCATAGAAATATACCAAGATTCATTTTATTCACAAGGCTAAAACATTAATTACAAAATATTATTCCCCAAAAAGTATGAAAGAGATAGAGGTTTAGATTACAAACTTGGGGCTCATCCAAGCCCAAGGAGAAGTCAAGCCAATCATGGAGGAGGTGGGTGTGATCTTGGAACCCTTAAGGGCAATCCTCAAACATGGCTCCATCTTTTTCCTCTTCTTCTTTGTTGAATTCTAGAAAGAGAGTGTGTGTACATCTTGAGATGTGTTCTTGGTGCCACCACTCTTCTCTTTTCTTCTAACCCTAATCTCTAACTTTTTAAAGAGAGAAACTAATGAAAATATAGAAATTACAATGTAAAAATATGAATCTCCCTACAAAATGGTTCAATCTCTCATATATACAAGGCTTTGAGAGCCCAAAAATGTGAGAACTCAGCCCTAGGATCTTCTCTTTCAAGCACAGTCCAAGTTGGTTTGAAATGAACTTTAGATCTGCTTTTTTATAACTTCTGCGAACAGTTCGATCGATCAGAGTTTGATCGATCCAACTTTTCTTCGATTAATCCAACTTGGCAGTTTTCAGCATCATCCTCCTTTCTACTCTAGATCAACCTCATTTTGCTCCAGATTCTCACAAAAACTTAGTTTGACTCCAAAAGGTCTTAAGAAGCCATTTTTAGCCCGTTTTAACTTTATTGACCTGAAAAGGAAAATAACACAAAATTAGACTAAAACGGGAAAATAAGATAGAATAGGGTACTAGAACGTTCAAGCTTAAGAGGTTTAAATGCGCCATTTTCAGCACTCATCAGTATGGTTGGATATTTTTAGTAAGAAGTCACCTATATGAGTGTGAAATAGGGTCGCTTTATGAGAACTACAAAGGCTAAGTTTTCTAGAGCACTCATAAATGCCAGGAGTTGTTCAGGGCCAAAATGAACACAACAATAAGAATCAACTCTTTGAGGAAGGGTATTGTGTGTTTGTTATTGTCTTGGTTTACAAAAACGAATGAACAATTCAAGACATCACATTCACTGGTTAGTCAGTAAATCCGATAGCAATACACTAGGAAAGGTTTAAGGCCAAAAGTTACATATCATAATGCAGTAACTTTTCGATTATACTCTTTCTAGTATCTGCATTATCATTTGCATTTAAGTAGCCAATTTCCATTCATGTGGGGGACTGTTAGAAAGGTGCGTGAATGTAACTTGCCTACAACGTGTCTATGTTTATCACATCAGACTACAACATGTGAATGTCAACTGTTTGTTGGTTGCAACAAGAATATTTTGGTGTGAAAAGTTGTGTCGATTCGGGTAAGGTGATGTTTTAGGAGTAGTTATAATCAATAGATGCAACTACTCTAAAGCATTGCATCTCAAATGAACAAACACATCTAATAATGATGGGACACCACTTTGTCTATAACCAACCATTGCAACCCATTGGAAGTGATTGTGCCTGTTAACGAAGAGACACCACCTTATCTATAAATACCCACCATTGGTTGCCATTTAAGCTGCGCAATTTATTATTCTCTCCCTTTCTCAAGATGAGCCCACCCCAAGTGGATGTGGGTTCAAGCCACGATCAAGTGGTCTGAGCCACTTAGGGTTAAAACCAATTTCATTAAGCCATATTAAATTTGGTCCAAGCCATTTGGTTCGGATTACACCTAATTCATTATTTATATAGTATAGATGCATTTTTAAGTCAGAGAGAGTATTACACAGAGGAGGTTCGCCGTATCCACAAGTTTGTAGTGCTGCTACTGGTGGATGTAGATCGTTGTATCCTGGGAGATAGATGCCACAGAGTCCATTAGCACTATAGCAGGGCGAATCTGTCTTAAGGACATAGTATTCAACACTAACCTCGGTCCAGGTTCTTTATTTATTACTTATTAATTTATTACTTTATTTTGCATATTTAATTAAATATAGAGTTGTATATTTAATTAATGATTTCTTAGTATATTGTTAATTATCTCATGACATATTAGTGTAAGGTTTGTTATATCTTAAATGTTACATGAAATATATATTTTCCAACACATTATATTGTAATAGAATGATGCCAAAGACGGATCATAAATGATTAATTCTTTCATTGATATAGAGTAGTGTAAACTATCAGAGTTAGATTAATATATCTTAAAAAAATGTTATTGATTCAAATGATGGATAGGTATCCTGAGACAAAGACTAGAGTTTGTACTATATGCGGAGAGGCTTGTTATTTCTCTAAAAAAGTAGGTTGTATTGCCTTTGTATTTTAAAGTAAATTGAAATCTAAGTTACAATACACACCACAAATAATATATACAATACGATTTTCATAAACATTCAACGACCCTAATTCATGTACTATCAAAATAACTTAAGGATCATGTTAACTGCTTGTACCTTTCACTTTTAGTGTTTGAACAAATGTGCCAATGTTGTGACCTGGGTTTTTAAGATAGAATTTATTTTCTCAAGGGGATTTAGGAAATCTACCAGTTGTACTACATTCTGTTAGGCTTCAAACTTGAGGCATATGACTCGTGCTATATGTGTCACCAATGTGTCAACCTGGCACCACTGTTCTTGCCATATGTCTTATTTGTATATGTTGACACTAATAGTCGAAGTGAACACATAGTAAAAGAAGGGATACTTGGTGCCTTTTAACATCAGTTCATTGTGAATGATTGACTCCATTACTTTATCCCTGTTAGTACTACTAACATTTATTGCAGGCAACTTAATGATCTACAACAGTGTTGCTTGAAGTTTCTAAGGAGCGTGAGTATGGCTATGCATGGATCTTAAATGATCCCCAAGGTACTGAGTTGTGATAAATAATTGATCATGATGCTAGGTGTCCTTAAAGAGATCATAATGCTTACCTTGGGAAGCAATGCTCTTTTGTTAGGGATCTTCCTCATCACTTACAGGAGTAGTTTTCTTTTTGCTTCTATCTATAAGAAGAGAGTGACTGAAACCCTCCCAACATAAGCGTAAACATGACTTCCAGCTCTCATCTTTCTTCAGAGAAGCTAAAGTGAAAGAATGCCCAATTAGAACAAGTATAATATAAACGAAAATAAGTAAGGAAAGGAAAAGAAATGAAACTTATCTAAGAGATTTCACCCACTTAAAACTTGAAATGAATTTCTCAGTAGTTTAAAAATGTTTGCGCATGTGTCTGTAGTTTTCTGGATAGTGTACACTGTTACTGCCTCTATATTTATTAAATAGGCTTCAATAGCTTTATGGTTATATGATTCCTTCTTGAGCTCATCAACAAATACATCTTGAAAATAAAATCAGATATGCTTTAACAACAACAACAATGGAGATAAACTTATGATTGTTCTGATGGAAATAAACAACATGGATCAATCCTAGAATTTAAAGCCAGTTTGCACTCTTAAATTAAAAATGAACACTAACTCTATCGGGAACTAGAGTTGAACCTCATGATTTACTGGTTAGTTTATTGATTTTTCTTTTTATAAAAAGAATAACTAATAAAATGTCTGTCCATGCTTAAACATATATATACTTACACATGTATATATGTATGTATATTTTCATAAATAAATCACTTTGCCATACATCAATCATGATCATCTAAGTTACACGTACTAGCTTCAAACCCTTAGAAAGTTAGGGTTTTGTTCAAATAACATCAATTTCCAATTAAATAATGAATTCAAACAAAAAAGGAGCAATGTTTGTGAAATTTACCTGTGAGTTGACAAAAATGAAGATAAGAACGATTATCTATGGCCTGCTTTGGCGAATCAGACGTTGATTTGGCTGCCAAATCAAATAGCACAACCGAATATATGCTCAAATAGCACAACCGATGATCATTGGAGATAAAATGTAAATCAACCACTCGATTGAAGAGCGACGAGCGAGAAGTGACGAGAGAAGAGCCTAAGTCGAGCTAGAGAGAGAAAGGATCGGGGGTAGAGAGAGAAAGTGAAGAGCGATTGGAAATGAAAAATGAATAATAAAAATAAAAAATGAGCCTACAACAATAACATAAATAATGAAAATCAAATATAAAAAATGGGTCCATGTTGCTGCTGCAGCAATCAGGTGCTGCACTTATTAAAAATGTTGTTAGAAACATATCAATGGCAGCATTTTTTTTTATAATTGCTGTTAAAATTTTGCCACCAAATGAGTATTTTATTGTAGTGCCAGTATCACCCTTCAACTTTAGTTATTACATTCTTGATGATTTTATACTACTGAGTATTTATCTTTCCACAATTTGTGTGTGTGTGCGCGTGTGTATATATACACATATAAAATCATGTTCTCTCTCCAATATCTAATTTAAAATTAGACTTTTTATTTGAACTTCTGTTTTCCTGATTAAATAAGATTTTAAATAAGAGTTTAAGGTGTTAGGATCATGCCCTGAAGTTTTGATCTCATTTCCTGTGAGTACTCTGCATTGTGAAGCCCTTCATTTCACTGGAACAAGTGAAATCATTTGTATGTTTACATTTTATATGGATTTTAAGAAGGTGAAAACTTAAATTTACCATGGGATTGCATAGAACTCATAATTGATTAAGCAATCTGAATTTGTTTGGTCAATTGTTTTCTCGAAGCTTGTATGCCTCTTCTCCGTGTTTACATTTGACTAGGGCAATTTGCACCCAAAAATATAGTAGGAATTTTTTTTGCACTATAAGAATTTTTTTTAATTTTTGAAAGGCACAAAGGCCAAGCCAAAGTGGCAGTACAGAGACATAAGTCAAGCTAGATAAAGGCATACAAATCATGAAACAAAATAATAAAATAAAGAACATGTTCCAGATTTGTTAAGAAAAAGTCACCGCTCTAAAGCGGAAACCACCAAGGGAGAAAAGCAGCAACTAGAGTGATCAAAAGTTAGGCCAGCTCCAAAGCTGCATCCATAAGGCGCCTCCACACACCCAACCCCGCACAAGATCAAATCAAGTCAGGAAAAATAAAAATCGACCTAGATCAGAGATCTAATTGAAGGAAAAACAACAGATCCACCATGTCGAATTGGAAATAAACCAAACAAGAGCGTATGTAGTCACAAAAAAAAAAAAAAAAAAACTGATGTGAAAAATTACCCACAGGGCAAACTTATTGAGACACACCGAGATTATTAATATATGAAAGGCAAACAAGGTCACGTCCCCACTCGCATGGAATGAAGTAGGGAGCAAATCGGAAGGGGACAAGAGGTTGAGAGAGAGAGAAAGGGAAGAGAGAGGACAGAGTAAAAGTTAGAGGCGGCTCATCTACCATGCCTATCTACAATGCCTAACTAATAAACCCTCTGTCTAATTTAAATTAATTCAGGAGTTTCTTTGTGTGTGAACTAAAGTAGTAAATTAATTAAACATAATAAATCTTCGGTCGTCATTTACTAGCACAACGTTGAATGTGGACTAAACTAGCAATAAGGTTCACAACTTTGAATGTGACTTCGTCTTCGATCAATACACAACATTGTTCTGCTCACGGTATTTGACAAATATCAAAGTATGCGGTCGGCAGTTATATATATGCCAATGGCTTTTGTGCAATGAGGGATGTGTGGTGCCTGAGAGGATAAGGTGTTGGCATAGCTTAAATGGCAGGAATATATATATATATATTACCTCATATGGGAGTTGTTATCTAATTTGTCTTAAATATTATTTAAAAAAAGAGATAATTCAATATAAATGATAAATTTCATATCTTCCTGTATTATATCATTTATATCAATTTATTTATTAGTAATTTGGTTCAACATTATACGGGCAAACTTTAAATGAGACAATCTTTAAAAGCAAAATTTTCCATGAACACAATTGATAAATGTAATCAAGGAATGGTAAAAGAAAAAAGAAATCATTAACTCCGTTGACAATTATTTATTCAAGAAATTATAAAAATTTAAATTAGAAACTATATCATTTAATTTATGATTTAAAATTCGGAGTTTGAATTCCCTTAGATCATCTCAAAAAATTTCATCTCCAATAATTATTCAGGGTATATAAAACTGGAGAATTATATTTGTCCCGTAATAAATTATGAAGTAGTCTAAAAATCCCATACCAACTGCCAAAGGAAAATTATTATTATTACTATTGTAAATAAAAAGAAGTAGAATAGGATAGTTTTTGGGCCGCCAGATTAGGCCCAGAAATAACGATCATGATGATTTATGACGAGTTTCTCTATATAGTCTTAGCTTGGACTCATGGGTTCACTGTACTGTACGTAAAAAGAATTAGGTGGGACGAAGTCATTTCTCTGTCATTGTCAAAGGTGATTTTCTTCTTTTCGTCGATCCTCCATTAAAATACACTGTTTCAAATCTCTGTATAGCTCTTTATATATCACTGGTCAAACGTATTTACTCTACTAAAAACGAGCTCAATCCTCTAGGGTTTTCCGAACCGTTTCAATGGCATCGGAATTGATACCATACATATAAAAATTCATGTTTATCTATTTAGATCGTTATATGTGTATTGGATTTGATGATTGGGTTGATTTAATTGATCATTTCAAGTTTTGGAAGTTCTGTTTCTAAGATTGGTGTTGTTATAGAGATTTTACAGGTTTGGTGTTTATGTATATATACGTTTTAGCTATTTTTGGGAGCACCAAATCATTGCCTTGGAATTGAAATGAACTCGTTTTCTTCAATTTCAACTCCAAGACGCGGATAGGTGTTCTCAAATGCAAGCTTTTTGTATTTGCACATGTTATTTGTTCATTTTATGATTCCAAACTTTGATTGACAATTTTTTTTTTATTTTTTTTTTAAAATTCATATAAAAAAAAGAAAAAAGAAAGAGCCTTACTTATTTCAACTATTTGATTTTAGTGATTATCTGAAAAAATGGCGGAAGAGAAGTGTAGAATTGCCAAGGATGTTACTGAAGTAAGTTTGCATCTTTCGGTGTTGTTATTCTTACTTCGACTGGTATTTTATACGTGGTTTATTCTTTCCTTTTTAAGTTTCATAGTTGGATTAATTTCTATTTACATCTTGGTTTTTGTGATACAGTTAATTGGCAATACACCATTGGTGTATCTCAATAATGTTGTGGAAGGTTGTGTGGCCCGGATTGCAGCCAAACTAGAAATGATGGAGCCTTGTTCCAGTGTCAAAGACAGGTAATTGACTTGAGTCCTTGAAGAGTTGTATTAGGTTGATAATATGTAAGGGCCATTACCCAATGGAGGATGGATGCTTGTAGTACTAGATAAGATCTAACCTTTGATATCTGGTCTCATACTCAAGGCTCTCCCGTATTCCATTTAACCATTGCACAAACAAATGGCTCCTAGGCTTATATATAGTCTATAGTCTATACAGATATCCATATATATATGTACATATATGTGTGTTATGTATGTATATTTCACATCACTCTCTATTGTGCTTTCCATTTCTAGAGCTATAATTGCAGTTATCCCGTGCTTTTTTATTTGAAGTATTCGCTTCAATTTCAAAAATAAGATTCTGAATATTGCTGCTTCATGTGCAGGATTGGTTATAGTATGATTGCTGATGCCGAGGCAAATGGCCTTATCAAACCAGGGGAGGTTAGTAATCAGTTATGTTTGGAAATCTTTAGTAGAAGTGGGTTTAAAGTAGTCTTATTTGTGAACACATGGTAAGACTGATATACTGATGATCACATAGCCAACTAGATTTTCAGATTCGATCGAATATAAGCTTCAGTAAAATTCATTCATATTTGTTGCTAAGGTTCAACTGTTACGTGCTTTTTAACAGACATGCCCACAACCAAATATTAGTGATGCCTTGGTGAATCCTTCACATGTTAGGTTGATTCCTTTAGATGGGTCAGGGCTGGTTCGGAATTCTATCTTCAAGTATGAATTTGTTTTAACTATCGTTAATGTTAGTAGTATGAAAACTGGAATTATCCTCTATTTTCTGTTTTCCCAATGTTATGACTATGGCTCTAATTTCAAGCTTTGAAGCAACCATTTTTATGTGTTTGAACTTTTTAGCTGACAAAATATTGAATCTGATTCACTTTTGTTAATGTTTGCTGAAGAGTGTCCTCATTGAACCTACAAGTGGTAACACCGGTATAGGTTTAGCCTTCATGGCTGCAGCTAAACGTTACAGGCTTATCATTACCATGCCTGCTTCAATGAGTCTTGAGAGAAGAATTATTCTTCGTGCTTTTGGTGCTGAGTTGGTGCTTACAGATCCTGCCAAGGGAATGAAAGGTGCTGTTCAGAAGGCAGAAGAGATATTGGCCAAGACTCCCAATGCCTACATTCTTCAGCAGTTTGAAAATCCAGCCAATCCGAAGGTATTTACTTTCAATTAATATTTTGAGTTATTGCTGGTCGGGAGAATGTGGCAAAATAGGATTCATGTTGCCGATCCCAAGCAGTTGGAAAAGGCCTTGTTTGTTGGTTTGGTGGTGTTGCTTATTGCTGGTTGGAAATTGAAGTTAAATCTTGTTGTGTTAGTATAGATACATTATGAAACCACCGGACCAGAGATTTGGAAAGGCTCAAATGGGAAAATTGATGCGTTTGTTTCCGGGATTGGTACAGGAGGTACCATAACTGGTGTGGGCAGATTCCTTAAAGAGCAGAATCCTGACATAAAGGTTAGCAATACAAACAGTATTCTGAGTGATTCAACCCCACCTGCCACCCCCAACAACAAAACCCCGCGCCCCCCCCCCCCCCCCCCCCCCCCCCAACCCAGCCCCGAATTGTTTGCTCATTTTACTTTGACACTGAATATTCTCATTTTGTTTTCTTACTTGCGTTATTCTTCTTCTTTATGTAGCTGTATGGTATTGAACCAGTTGAAAGCCCTGTTCTATCTGGAGGAAAACCTGGTGAGATGTATTAAATGCCGCTGCAAATGCTTTAGTAACTGTGTTCTCTGGCTTTTGTTTTATATATGTATCTTTCTATCTCTCATTCATTCTCTCTTCTCTTTCTTCTTCTTCTTCTTCTTCTCCAATCTCACAAGATTGAAATTGGTTTTAGTGAATAACAGTCATTGTATTAACCAGAACTATTTTATTACTTACTTGATGTTATTATTATTATTATTATTACTTTTTTAGCTTGGTGTCATCTGATTTTACCGTCCTTGTAGTCATTTGCCTTAAAGAAAAACATTGAGGCTTTTGACTTTCGGACATATATTTTTAAGTGTCGGCTTGAACGTTTCTGGATTGTGGTTTTTGGGTTATTACACTGTTTTAGGTTTGTGCCCGCCTAGCAAATACAGGACACTTTACTGGGTTAAATGCTCTAGTACTCTTCCAGGACCAAATGAAAAAAGAAAAAAAAATAATAATAATAATAAAAAGTGTTAGAAGTTCATTTTGCTTCACTAAGGATAAGACCATATTTAGTTTCTACCTCCAGATTAACCTGCCTCTGTTAAGTTTGTTTATATTAAATTTTTGTTTTTTTGGTGCATACTTTTTTGTTGAAAGTTGGCTCTTGACATACTATAATAATAATAGAACATTAATGGGATATTGTTGGCTGCTGCTTTGTATGCTTGTTAACATGAAATGTGTTCACTTAGTTTAACATCACTCTAGTTACAGGAAAAGTCCATGTTTTACAATTATTTTCTGAAGAAGTGTATTCTGCATTGCTGTTACAACATCTAAAATCAACTTCTTGCGTTTTACATTATATTAGTTTTCTGATTCTTACATCTACTTTAAACTCTGACATAATTACATGTCAATGGGAAATTATGGACATGCCTTTGTAGCCATGTTCTTAATATAGCTTCTAGACAGTGCCATTGGAACATCACAGCATGCCTGTTATCATAATTGGTTCCCTTTAACTTAAGGGGTTATTGGTTCGATTTTGTTTGCGTTTTCTTGTAAACTGGAAAAGGTTCTGCTAACAGTATTATTGGTTGGTTACATTGGAAGTGGAAGGATTTATGGCAGCAAAATATCTTGAAAAGCAATATCAATAAAGAAACAATTATGCATGATCCAACGGCATTTTGTAGACTTACAATAAAATTTGGAAGATTTAGTAATTAGGTTGGAATAGGAAATGTCAAACTAATTGTTCTCAATTCATTTCGGTTACTCCTGGACAATCAGGAGCATACTGGAATTATCTTGATTAAACAGATGCTAGATCAATTGGAAGTCACTGGAGTGAGTGCCTTCTATCTGTTTTGGTCCTGCTAGACTGGCTGAGCTTCTCACAGAACTTGTTTGACTAAAACTTAGTTAGGTCCAATACTCGGTTTCACACAAGCTTCCAAACAATATGTTTGTTCAATTTAACTTTAATTCATGAGTTTCTTTGTCAAGTGTGGACTAAACTAGTAATTAAACATAAATCTTATGTACCATACCTATCATGTGACAAACAATAGCCTGAATAAGGTTCACAACTTTGAATGTGGCTTTGTCTTCAATCAATATACAACATTGATGAACCAATCAAGTGCCACAGACCCAAATGACCTATTATGGATTCCGCTCATCAGCTCATGGTATATGCCAATACTTGTTATACCCTCACAAATATCAAAATATGTGATCACATGCACATACACTCTTTTTTTTTGCTAAAACCTCCAGGCTTCACTTTCTAAACCAGCTAACTACTCTGTGCTCACGATGTCATACTTGATTCTGTTGAAGAAAAAATATTGAATACATTTAAGCTTAGAGAAACCAGGGGCACCATGTACGGTCTTCAAGTTTCAAGTTCCTATGTGTACTCTATTCGGGGATCTGTTCTATTCATGTTTATATAGAATTGCTATTTTCTTTTGCCATTTTAGAATGACACACATCTTTTGTATGATGCCTAAGGTCCACATAAGATCCAAGGAATTGGTGCTGGTTTTGTTCCTGGTGTTTTGGAAGTCAATATTGTTGATGAAGTTATTCAAGTAAGATTCAAGAGTATCTAATTGCACTTTAATTTTGCATCATACTACTTGCTGTGAATCATAAAATTGTTAGACATCTGGATGAACTAACCCATTCTTTTGTGCTTACTTGGGTTAGAAGAGGGGGAAAGGGATGGTGTATTTATTTCCAAACTCATGGCTTTATCAGTGAATTTTGATTTTTGAGTTTTTGTTACAATCTGGTGTTTTGTGATTTCCCAGATATCAAGTGATGAATCCATAGAAACTGCAAAACTTCTTGCACTGAAAGAAGGATTGCTAGTAAGTTTTAACTGTTATAAAGTCTCTTGATCTCAGAAAATTTGTTTCTTATTCATGTTTAGAGTCATGTCATATGCGCTTTCTATTTCTTTATGTCAGCATTGATTGTGGGACATCTGTTGCAGGTGGGAATATCATCTGGTGCAGCTGCTGCAGCTGCAATTAAGATCGCAAAGAGACCAGAGAATGCCGGAAAGCTTATTGTTGTAAGTTTGTTAATTTTATTTCAAATTGTGCAAGTATAATAATATCAATTAGAAAATAATAAAGTATAATTGCAGAATGGATCTGTTGAAAAAAAATGGATGGTATCTAAGCCCTTCGTTCTATTATATATCCTTGTGACATTTTTCTATTTATTTGCAAATTTTCTAGATTTACCATCTGATTGCCCAGCTGAGAAATGTTTTACGTTCAAGTATATCTGACTTAATTATGTTAATATGTTAAATCATCAGTAACAAGCAATCATCAGTAAATTCAAACCACTGATTTACCGTCTGATTGCCCAGGTTGGGTCCAGTTCATTCTGAGCATAGCCTATGCCCAATAATGTAACCATGAAACTTATATTAGGTGCTGTCACTTCTTCTATGGACCAAAACAATATTCATGTCTCTTTAGATTTCCCGAACAGAGAAAGCAAGTAGTGCACCAACCCAACATATAGGTTTGTCGTATAGTAAATATGATAGGCTAACCATTAATAACTAAAAGGTTGAGTGCAGGTTTATCATATGTTAGGTTTGCATTGAAGGATTATGCTGATCATTTATTAATTCAAAGTTGGAGTTTTTTTAAATGCTAAATATTTAATACTGTAATATTAAGTAGAATATCAGACTTTCAAAAGGATTTCTCTTATTCTGTTCCTTAGAAGTTGTAAGAATTAGATTTTCCCTAAATGTCAGTAAGTTACACATTATTAACCCAAAGTATCACACAATTTATATAAATTTATTTTGTAAAATTTGAAAGTTGTACAGAGCAAATTATAAGGATATATACTTTGTTTCTTGCCTTGACATGTACTATATGTGCGAGACTTGTCTTTAAACCTGATATGTAAAATGACAAGAAAGAAATTCAGGCTGGTCCATTTCCCTGCGGCCCTTACAAGCAAAATTTATTCATACGGAGGACTGATAATACAAACATATGTGGTGTATTTGGGCCTGACCAGCACATGAATGCCTTGGTGAAATAAAACAAAAAGTTCTAAAAGCTTTTGTTTGGGTGTGTCTGATTGTTGTAGTGTTTCTGGTGTTGATTTCCACCAGTTTATCCCGCCTTGAAAGTTCGCATGGAGTTTTTATGATCAGCCAGTTGGACTGATTTAGCAGCTCCAAAAGCCTAACAGATGTAGCTGGGTCACATGTAATTTGATTAGAGACCAAACAAATTTTGGGTGGGCGATGTAGCCACTGGTTCCAAGGGTTTCAATTAGTTTTAGATTTGACCCGGTAGCAAGATATACATTCTGCTGAAATCATCCAGGAGTGCATTGCTTTGAAATACTACTTTTTAATTAAGCCAATCAATAGTTGTATATTTTCTCTTTTTACTTGCTAGTTTCTTTACTGGAAAGAGTATATTTAGTATAAATGGATGGTAAAATGGGAGTTAACCTGGTCCTGGGGTATAATCCATTTGATTTTTAAAGAGGAATGAACTTGTGTTATGTTCCTTCCATTCAGACAATCTTCTATAAATGAACTATGCGAAACAAAATACATGGTGGTTGCAGCATTTTGATTTCTAACTTAAATGATATACTCATTTGCTTTGAGATTACAACCTTGCTTGTGCCACTAATATTATTTTTTCATCTTCAACTTATACAGGTGGTTTTCCCGAGCTTTGGGGAGCGGTATCTTTCCTCTGTGCTGTTTGAATCAGTGAGACGGGAGGCAGAAACCATGACATTTGAGGCCTGAGACAGTTCTCTTTCCAAAGTATGCTAGATTCTCTTCCAGTTTGAGTGCACGTTGGGAGATAACATCATTTTGCAATGGGATAGGAAGGGGTACATTGGGTTCCCTATTGATTGTCATCAATAAGATCAATATGGAACTTAAAATAATTTGAAGTATTTGTTGTCAAAGGCACGGTAAGGATTGTGTTATGTTGAACAATTTGTTTTATTTTAAATTTATTCCTAACTACGTGTAGTGGGTTGTCTTGGCGGGAGTTACTGAATTTTGAACCTTTTAACTCCTACTCCTACAATTTTAATGGTTTCTTGAAACTATTATATGGAGTAGTTATTTGACGGGCATTCAGTTATAGAAACGCGGTGTGTTGAAAAAATGCATTTCAATTTGTTGTGCGAACTCTTTGTATGATTTACTACATTCAGATCTGTAGGTAGCATTTTTCTTGGAGCCCGCAAAGTCACGGAAGACAAGATATACAATGGTACTGGAACTGGGCGCTTTTCCAGGGAATTAAATCCACTAATACTTTGATTTATTGATTAGAATTATATGACACGCTGGGTCCTAAATATTCACTTATTAATGTTTAATGTAGTGAGGGAGATAAATGGAAGCTCTGCCCATGACTTAGCTGGTAAGGGATGTTAGAAGTAAAACTATATGTTCTTTCTGTATTTGAGCTTTCAAAAGAAGTTTAAAACTGTAGTCTTTATTTCCATCCCTTATCCTATCAGGGAGTAAAATAAGGACTTCTTAAATGAACTAAAGCCTTGACAATATTATCCAATTTTTAAAAGATAATTATTGTCAAGGCCTAGTTCCTTGAGAGCTTCTGTCTTCTTCAGTCCAATTGAGGAAAAAATAAATTTATATTATTAAATAAATAAATGACAGGTCCGTTATTTAGGAAGGAAGAGGGATGTAGAGAAAATAGGAAGAAAGTAGCAAACTTCCTTCGTTTGGTTGAGGAGAGACTATGACGACCTTGGATTTTACAAATCCGGTGTGTCCTGTGATGACCGGAAACGAATCCAAAATACGGAAGCAAAACACAAACAAGTCTATAGAGATGTACATCATCTCTAAGACACGAGAGTGGTCTTCCGAGGAGTACCGTGACTCAACGAAAGTAAAACCGAAGCTAGGGTTTCAAAACCCTTCAAGGAATGGACAAGGGCAAAATGGTCATTTCAAACTGAAATAGGTGCCACCGCGCACACCATTGGAAAGACAACGAAAAATGAATGACGTTAGACTCAAGAATCGCCTGATTTGGAGTCCGGACGGAAAAAATATGAAAATAGACCAAAAAGGCATCCTCTGATTAAAAGATACCACGACCCTATCTCACTAAAACTGTCATAACTCTCACTACAGTTGGAGTTTTTGTGTGTGGTTGGTACCATTGGAAAGCTAACTTCAAGCTCTTGAAATTAGGCTGAAGAATGACCTAATTTGGATTAAAAACGAGTGAAATATGACCCTCTGAAGTTGGCTCAAGAAAGCTGCCCAAGAAACTGAAAAGAAATCAAGCTTCAGGGAGGATAAGTAGGTTGACGGCAAGGATTAGCCGGCCGAAACGCCCTGTCTAGGTTGCAAACTCACTGGTAAATGCCTACGAAGGCTATTAGTCGGCTGATGGCTTTTGTCAGCCGATCGACGCAACATATAGTAGCAAAACCTGCTGCTGCAATGTGTGAGGAAGGTGCTCGGTCCAATCCTAAAGCTATACATGCATCCCAAATGTCCCAAAACAAGTTTTAAAACATGTGAAAGCTTTATACAAGCATCAATGACATGCTAAATCAAAAGAGAAGCTTGAATCAAACTCCAAAGCATGAATTTTGCATAAAAACTCATAAATCACCCTATAAAAGTTCCAAAACTGAAATTTAAGGTTTTTGTGAGATGTCGACATGTACGTAAACGTAAAAAGACATTTAAGACGTGTCCCAGTGGCCCACGCCTTCAAAATACCCCCAATGCAAAATATAGCCTCTCAAACCTCAATTATGCATAAAACTGCCTAAAAAGGTGAAATACAACACCATGGCATATAAATGAAAACGAAATGGTGTTTGGTCCTTGGCCATACCGCATACATATCAAATGAGTCCTAGTGAATGTGCTTGTGCACACTTTGCACCACCCGATTTGGAAATGAACCTTTAAAAGCTTGAATTTCCTATTTAAGCCCAAAAATGCAATATATAGAACTATAATGCAAAACCTAAAACAAAATGGTGTTTGGCCCTTAGCCACATATCATATACATAAAATGAATATAAAAAAGTGTGCTTAAGCACACATTACAAGTTCCAGGGCAAAAATGGCATTTTGGCCTAACTATACAATACAACTTAAAATGACAAAACGATGCATACGAACACTTGCATGCTCGTTAAAATACATTTAAAAGAACTTCAATTCATCGAAATGATCTAGAGATATTGTGCATTCCAAACCAAGGTATCCGTACCTAAAAAATAACCTAATAACTTTGGGGTGAGTAAACAAGTTACTTGTAGGGAATGAGTATGCATAGACCTAACATTTTACAAGGTTATCACATTAATGTGAAACAATTCAAAAAGGTCATGCCACCTAACATCTATGTCAAAAGTGAGACTCAGGGATCATCTCAAGCTACTTATGCAATTGAAATGAACTACGGCATACAAGTATACATGCTCAAGTACACTAAACTGTATTAAAACATGATACACGACATACAAACATACATTTTTAAGTACCCTAAATCATGTTAAACGAGATAAGCAATATCTAATATACATAAACAAGTATTCGATATATATAGAGTACTCATAAATCAAGTATACAAACACAAGCATACTAAGCTAAACAAAATACGCATAAGACAAGTATACACGGCACAAGCATACTAAATGAAATTTAAACTCACGGAGCAATTATATAAGTTCAAGTCTACTAAATAGGATTCAAATATCCAAAGTAAGCATCAATTCTCAAACTACAAGTAATCTATGATTAACAACTTGAAATTAAATGAGAAATCAAATAGTGGAAAGACTAGAACATGCGGTCGCTAGACCAAACAAGTATTTTTGGGAAATTACGACCCACAAGGTACCACCTAGTGTGCACTTATGACTTAGAGGACTCTTGTTCCCGTACTAAAGCCAAACCCTAGCCATCACATAAATTATGTCCTCACATGCTTTCCAAAATCAATAAGTTCAAAACTTATACAAAATCAAATGCAAGTTACCACATTCTATACACAAGTAAGGTTGAATCCACACAAACCATATCCTAGAATTCAACTCTAAATAGCATATGACATGTCATATCTTCAATATGTAGTTTATACATAACATAAGAATATCTTTAAACAACTAAGTCAAGTTACCCAATATAAGTCACAAGTACTAAATATACCATACTTTAGTAGCTAGCTCCCATGGTAAACATTAGTGATATTCTAAACAAGCTATATACCTACACAAGATATTTTTAAATAAGCTATTCAAGACAATGATATCACATATCATGTTAAGTCAAATTACTATCTTTAGAGACCACAAGTACTAATTTTACAACAAGTTAGTAGCTCACAAGGTAATTAAACATATTACATTTCAAGAGATTATCAACCTAACATGGAAAGTCTCTAGATTTCAAATCAATTCCAAATAAACTCAAATTAATATATGTTAAAGGACATAGCACGGTCTTCACATATATTACATCAAATATCAATTTAAGTGATTAAAACACTAAAAATAAAATTAATTAAGCTAATTAATTAATTTTCTCTAAATTTTCAAACAACTCCAAATGTCTTCAAATAATATAGGTTAAAGAACATACCAAGACCTATTTTAATATCAAATTACAAGTTGATTTCATGCTAATTACAATCATGTGAATTAAACTTTCATACAAGTGAAAGATTAAATAAAAGTTTCAATACTTATTCATATAATCCCACTTTAATATATGTTAATAAACACATCAATCCTAATTTAATAGCATACCACAATTTAATTCTAAGCTACCAACAACCATGTGAATCAAATTTTATACATAGAAAATAATTAAATTAAATTCTAGAATTTGAATAAAAGCATGTATACAAGTTGTATATGTTTAGAAAATAATCAATACAACAAAATATAAACCTAAGACATCCCCTACCTCACTTTGAGATGAAATCTCAAATCCCCACCGAAATGAAACTGTTCCGAATCCGACGATACTTCGGGGTTTTGTCGGGGACAACAAGGTGATCACTAAACACTAAGGAGGTCACACCAAAATCCAAACTTAGCTTCAAACCCGAACTCGAAAAATGGCCAAAAACGAATTCCAATATGTTGGAATCGATGGCTTTGCCAAGGCGAACATTAAACACTAAGGCAGCACCACTTTTTACTAAAGGGAAAAAGTGCAAAAGAGGAGAGAGAAGGTGGAAGCCCTTTGGGCTTCCATCGCTGCCGCCCAAGAGAGGGGAAAGAGATGAGATGGTTTGACTTTTCATTTTAGAACCCTCTATTTATAGAAAAACCCTAAAAGTGTCCCGAACGTGCCCCGCCGGGTCCGAAAAAGTGAAATTTGAGCAGATGCGCTCAAACGGCAAAACACCGTGAATGAAAAAGAACCGAAATGATAAAAAATGAAAAATGGAAGAAACGGCGAATCCCGAGTAGAGAGATATGCCCCAAACAAGTTCGGTGGCAATCGGGGTCAAAAATCCGAAAACTAAGGAGATCGACCACAAGACAATTCTAAGAGTATATGACTGTACGAAATGTGAAAATGAATCTCGTACGAGCATTCAAGTCCCAAGGAGACACTTTACAATTAATTTTCATTAATTGCATAAAGGCCCCACACAAAAGGATAACTATGCAAGTGACCTAAATGAAAATATCTTTCAAAAGATATTTTCTTAAAAACCCCCAAATCAAAATAGCTTGAAAAGATATTTACGAAAAATACCTCAAGAAATGAACATGTTTCTGAAGAATCTCTTCATCTATGCCCCTACGGGAAAAAGAAACAACTGGCGAGCTTTTCTTAAAAAATAAAGCTACGCCTCTCAAGGAAACCAACAAGGATGAAAGTACGTGAAGTCAAAAACCAACTCTGAGCACGAAGAGTGAGGTTACGCGAAAGAAAATTTCAACGAAAAAATTTAATCCGTAAAAATGGAAAAAAAGGAAAGGAAGGAAAATGACCGGGTCATTACAAAGACATTTGGTAGAGGGGAGACAATAAGAGAAATGATAATAGGAGAGTTGATTCATCCTTCCAAATATGGGCAGACGAGAGGATGGAAGTTTTAAATTGGGTAAAACGCCAAAAAAAAAAAAAAAAAAAAAAAAAAAAAAAAAAAAAAAAAAAAATTCTGA